TCTGAGTCTTAATTGTTCTATATCTTCTGCCAGACGGTAACAGTTCAAAAAAGTTATAAGCAGGATGGGAAGAGTCTCTCAGGATGCTGTGTGACTTCCTCAGACAGCGGGATGTGAAGATGTCATCCAGGGTTGGTAGCTGGACCCGATGATATTCTGGGCAATTTTAATGGTTCTCTGTAGAGCTTTTTTGTCCACTACAGAGCTACTCCCAAACCATGCCAGAATGCCATAGGTTAGGACACTCTCAATGATACCACTCTGATAGCAGAAAATGAGGAGGAATTTAAAAAACCTCTTAATGTGGGTGAAAGAGGAGAGCACAAAAAATGGTCTGAAGTTCGACATAAAAAAACTAAGATCATGGGCACTGATCCCATCACTTCCTGGCAAATAGAAGAGGAAGATATGGAGGCAGTGACAGATTTACTTTTCTGGGCTCCATGATCACTGCAGATGGTGACAGCAGCCACAATTTTCAAGGACGCCTGCTTCTTGGGTGGAAACCAATGACAAACCTAGACAGGATCTTAAAAAGCAGAAACATCACCTTGCCAACAATGGTCCGCATAGTCAAAGCTATAGTTTTACCAGTAGCGATGTATGGAAGTGAGAGCTGGACCATAAATAAAGCTGACTGCCGAAGAATTGATGCTTTTGAATTGTGGTGCTGGAGGAGACTCTTGAGAGTCCCCTGGAAGGGGACGACAGAGGACGAGATGGTTGGACAGTGTCACCAAAGCTATGAACATGAATTTGACCCAACTCCGGGAGGCAGTGGAAGACAGAAGGGCCTGGCGTGCTCTGGTCCATGGGGTCACAAAGAGTCGAACATGACTTAATGACTAAACAACAGAATTTGAAATAACTTAACCTAGGCAGAACAACACTGCTATGAGACACCATAATGTCAGATTTAATTTTTGCCATTGTATCTGTTCTTGTTTATAGTTTATAGTGGTTTATAGTTTGACATGACTTAATGACTAAACAACAGAATTTGAAATAACTTAACCTAGGCAGAACAACACTGCTATGAGACACCATAATGTCAGATTTAATTTTTGCCATTGTATCTGTTCTTGTTTATAGTTTATAGTGGTTTATAGTTTAAATTATTAACTTCAGTCAATTGAGAGGGAACCATGACTCCTACATATTTTATTGAGGAGCTGGTTGTGGGAATATGTTAGATCAGATACATGTTGACTATCATGTCAAGTTTCAGAATCTTAGATTTGCTAGGGTTAATCTTCAACCCTGAGAATTGCAAAAGCAATCACCTATAAATCAAGTCAATCCCATCCACATCTTTAAAGAAATAATGACTTAGACTGCTGGCTATTCTAAGCAGTATTAGCTAGACATAAAAATGCAATAATGAGTTGAGGAAGAGACTATGTGAAAAGATAAAGAGATAATGCAAACAGTGTGTATATATGAAGGTATAAGACTTTATGAATAAAATTTTACTATTATTATAATACAATAGGTATTGTTGTGTTATGCCATTTTGTACTGATTTATAAAAAATAAAGATTTTTTTAAAAAGTCTTTAAAGCAAGAATATCAATATCACACAAACACATGCACATACGTGGGGCATGTTGTGCCAAGAGATTAAGACATACTTGCAAACAAGGTGTGGTGGTGCCATTGCTCCATGCCTTTTAACAGTAAGAAATGTTTATTTTATGTATTTGTATTGATTGTTGGATTATTCTATAAACATCTAAAATAATTTTAAAATTATATAGAATTTTAGAGAATGGGCAAGCAGGCTTATGCAAATGTGTTGTGTCCTGTGCCCTTCAAAACAAATGGCGATTAAAAATTTAGGGTTGGAGGTGGGCAAGCTCATGGGAGCCAGACTCAAACTTTACCCCTCCCTCAAACTATCTGCAGTTGTGCTACTCAGATGGCTAAAAGTCCACTTTCAATTTCATTAAAAAAACAACAACCCATATACCTTTAGTCAGGTAAAGTAAAGTCCTGGGGTCCCTGTGCCTTGTTTTAAATAAAATTTGTCCTGAAATTCTGATTCAAGTGTATCCAGGAGGAGTCAGCATGCAAAAAAAAGGGATGGGGGCTGCATACAATCTGCGGGGCACATGATTACACACACCCCTGCAGAAAATGATGCACAAACAATATCCCCAACCTCTGATAGGCCCCAGTAGTGTATTACAAAACAACAATAACAGCAAAAGGATATTTTGCTATTGTTGCTATGCCAGGTTTAGTAAATCCCTCTCAAATCTTTCAGATGATTTTAACCCCTATGTTAGAACTGGATCCTATTTGGTCTCTCACCCACACACATATATATGAGCTGAAAGTCTGAAGATTATTTTCATCCTCACTGGTATTAACACACACACACACACACACACAGAGAGAGAGAGAGAGAGAGAGAGAGAATATCATCCAACCCCTCAATATTCTGAAAGGTCAATTTGTGCAAGCAGGCCTCCAAAAATGTTCCCACTTTAATTATGGTGAATCAATGGTGTGATTTCTATGTACTTTCCAACCACATAATCTGACTTCTGCTAGCTTTTGTTCAACAGCACCAGTCAAAATATCTCACTTCGTTAGTAAAAAAAAAAAAAGCTAATATAAAATTTTTCTCTTCATTTTTGTTCTTCATCTACCAAAGAAGGTTGGCAATAAATCCAAATAAATACCTATGTTTTTGCTTTTTAACCCACTAGCTCATGTTTCTTTATGTCAATAGTTGCAGAGATAACCAGAAACCCACACCTGAAGCTGAATCCATTTAAGCCTGTAGGTCATCCTCCCCCACTAGATTTTAAGATTCTGAACATGCAGACTTCAAGATATTCTGTACCTGGAAAACCCTGGAAATGGTCACCACACATTGGAATTGATTTAACTACAGACATACATTTCCTAACATATTCAATTGTTTTGAACTTTCCATAATGTAAAACATTTAATCACATTCCCCAAATGACTAAAGCATGTTCATGTTCATTTTCCAAAGATGCTCATTTTAGCTGCATGTATTTATTCATGTATAATTTGAAAGGGAAACAAACCAAAGAAGAAGTTGATGCTCATGACTTCCCTGAAATAAATGGAAATGGAAAGATATGTGAATTATTCCTTAATAGTCTTATAGACCATGGACAGGATAAATGTGTGTGTCTTCAGGCAGTTAAAGGAAAATTTCTTTTCATTGCTACTTTCTACACTTTTGTTTTGTTTCATTCTTTCATCACTTAGTTACTACTTGCTTGGTGGCTATCCCTGGGATGTGTGAACTGATCAATTAAACCGGCAAGATATGAAAGCTATTTGTGTGATGAGGGGTTCTGTGATGATGACTCATTCCTGTACGCAACTCATTCATTCCTGTTGTAAGGGCTGAGAGCCAACTGAGCTGACATTAGCTGCTGGGAACTACCCTCACGTGGACCAAATTTTGTGCCTGCATAGACCTGTGTCCCTGCATTAAGGGAAGTCTGGATCTGGCATAACTTGGCTCCTCTCTCATCCCATCCATCTTTCTGGGACTCTTGTGCTGTCTGATCTTAGCGAGTACATAGTTATCTCCTTCTGCTGGCAGGTCCTTGAGAACAGAGAGCATGAGGGGATTCTGCTGGCACAAGGACAATTGTAAAAGCACAAGAGGCTTCTGCCCATTCCAGACCACTACAACCAGTGAGTCTTTGAGTTAGACTTATACTGGTAATCATCAAGGGATAGGCATGCATGTGTAAACAGATCTTTGAACAAGGGATGTCTTTACTTTCTGCCATGGAAACACAGCACTGTCAATAAGTAACTAAAGCTGTCCTGTTGGATTGCATAGCATACCTCTAAACAGGCATGTAAGCAAAAGCAGGGATTTGTCAATGATTGCTATTTGTAGGGACTGAAAATATGCAAAAAGAGTTTGATAGGTGGCATCATAGGCTGCGTATGAGAAGATGGGTCATTAACTTCATGAACAGAAATGAGGTGGGACAGGAGGAAAATCTTATATTGTAATGGCTTCTCAGAATACAATTGTCTCATTCACTGGTCTGTGACTAGAACTTTGACACCATTCTTAATGCTTCCTCTAGGCATTCTACTAAAGGGAAGCAGAAAAAAGAAAAGAAAAGAAGAGAAGAGAAGAGAAAAGATCGGATTTTGAGAGCAAAAGTAATGGCTATATAAAAGGAAAAAAAGTCTGGACATCTGCTTAATGAACAGAGGAGAATAAGGTTTCTTTAATGCCTTACATTCTCAAATACCTTCCCAGACACTCTGTTCTGCATATGTATTACAAAACAAATGCCAATAAGAAGCTGTTTTCTTACCTGTGTGACTTCATAGCTTGGCCTCCTCTGTCACGAGACAAGGCTTCAGGGAAGGGCTGAGTTCCTGAAAAACTTGACTCCATCATTTTTTCCATTACTGGCTCTGGATGTCTGTTTGCCTTTGAGTACTGCAACAAATCAGAAGAAAAAATGAAAAGAAAGAAAAAAAATCATTATCCATTGAAAGCTATTTATCATAGAATCATGATGTTGCAAGGGATCTTGGGCATCATCTGGTCCAACTGCCTTCTGTGCAGGAACCCTAGTCAAATAGCTGCTCAGCTTCTAATTTATTGCTTTCAACCAACAAGAACCTACTGCATCCTGAGCTGATTTGTTCTACTGTTACACAACTGTGACCACTGGAAATCTATTCTAGTATTCAGAATTAGAGCTTGAAAATGTATCTGTCTGTTTTAGACTGCAACTCTGATGATAACCTTCTAACCACCTGGGATTCTAGGAACTGTACTTTCAAGGTCTGGCCTAGTACACATTTACAGTAAGATGTTCATTCATAGCATCCAGGTTGTGAAGGTTCACAGCTTTTCACCTTAAATACACTCCATATTCCCCAGATCCAGACAGCAGAACCAGAGAGTGGCAGATGAGGAGATTCATTTCTCCAGTAGAAATGTTTCTTCAAGATCTTCACAAGATCTTTTGTCGTCCTGACATTGCTTGAGATCTTTCAGCTGAAGATGCTAAGAAAGGAACCTGTAACCTTTTGAGGACCTGGCAGGATATATGGAGGGGGAATGACTGAAGCAGAAGAGAATCTGGCAGATTGCAGATGGAAATTAGCAGATCCAAGGCAGGTCATAGCAAAAGTTTGGCTGCTTTTCTAGTTTAACTCAGAAGTTTACTAGCTTTCCAAAATATGATTTTACTAGTAAAATACTGGCTGGTGGGAAACCACACTCAGAAATGAAGATGGAAGTTGAGTTCATGCTAATAGTCTTGGCTCACTACTAAGTGAACGGAATATGGAACTAAATAGGGTTTTGTTTGACTCAGGAGGCTCTTCTTAGGCTTTAATATATGAAGTTAGAGTACACCAACTGTTTTATCACTCAGTACTAAAAACCTAGTGCTTTCTTTTGCCTTATTTGAACTTCATTGCTATTACTTCTTAAAAACAAAGTATTCTATGGATAATGATGCCTATGCAACGGCCTTACCATATATCTTGTGTCGACTTGCCAATAACAGATATTGGTTAACACATATTGATTTCTCATGTACATATAATGTTTCTGAAGTGCACACTTAAATATGAAAGACATAATTTGATTATTATTATATTTTCTTTACTGAAACATTTAAAATCCACCCTTCATCATTAGGATACTAGAACTATGTGTATATATAACTAAATACAACAGAACAGATGAACCCAAGAAATAAAAATGCATCTACAAATAAAAAGTATTGGGTTGGTTCTTAAACAAGTGCAATGTTAGCAGTAGCTGCATCTCTATGGGGAGGGGATCCCACAGCTGGAAGACTGACACCAAGAAGGATCTTTCCCTTGTTGACATCATATATGTCCAAAATTCTCTAAGGGTAACCTGCCATGAAGACCTGAAGTCACAGGCAGTCCAGCTTATCAGTCACACAAGGATTTTGCCCTGCTGTTCCAGAGATAGTACCTATCCTGTTTTTCAGATACTCAACTAGGAATGCAGATACTTAGCTATTGTAGTGATGCAAATATCAGGGCCAGTACCCTGTTCCTGAGGAAATATGGCCAGAATGCTCCATTTCACTAACAGTTCCTCCTTTCCTGTTGTTTGCACAAAGAAAATCCAGTACCTCCTGCACCAAATGGAATTTTCCAGTGTCTTCAACAAGACATTCCCTGGTTTATATAACTAGAAACTAAGGAATACAAGAGCCCTAATGCCCTATGTGTGCAATATGATTCTATCCTGGAGATGTAGGAGTGTTTGTCAAATTATTAACTTTTATTTATTTAGGTTGCCTCTACTCAAGAAAATTTCTGAAGAAGAAGTTTTGAAGCTCTACAAGATTCCACACCGCCAGGCAAGAAGGCGACAAAGAAATGTTATTTTTAGTTGGTGAGTTCTCTGAAATTTGTATCTCTGTCTACAAAACTTTCCTTTTAAAAAGCAAGACACATGCACACGGAAAGCATAGAACCAGAAGAGTAGTTTTTAAAAAAGAGCCCCCCGCCTACGCTTCATTCTAACATTTAAATGTCCACAGAACAATGTCCGCAGCAGCCATAATTATTTTTTGTGTGTTTTACTTAATTTGTGCACATTCTTTTCTTTTGAGAGGACTCTCCAAATTTCTCTCGCTCTTAGAGGGCAAGGGGAGTAAGTGGGTGTGAATGGATATCCATGTGGGTGTGGGTGTTGTCCATGTAGACAGGATGAGACTGTGAAGATTTACCTTGCTATCTTAGCTACTATAAGTCATGGAACATCCTCTGAAAGAGTTTAGAAAGTGGAATGTTGGGAAATTACTTAGTTTTAGCCTAGTCTTTCTAAGGAGACTGGTGTGCTAATATGTTGCCCTGCTACCTGACTTATACTCTCTATATGCACTGGAATCATGCTGACGTTCTGCCAATATGTATTAGCCTAGGTTAATAACTTTCTTACATTATTTTGGGAACTATTCTGGAAGTGTTCCTGCTGCAACTCTTAAGCCTTTTGAATTCTTATTTGCTCCTCAACTTTTTGACTGGGGGTTTTGTGGAGGGTTTTTGTGTGTGTGCGACTTTTGAAACTGTTTGGAAACTTTACTATTTTGCCTCTTTTTCTTTCAACATATTTAATAAAATATAAAGTTCTACAGCAGCTTGGTAAATTGTGGCTTTTTGTTGATTCCCTAGAGACCTGAATAGTCAGAGTGACTCAAGGTATTAGAGGGGTACCAGGCAGGAAGATTCCCCCCAGCCATCAGCACATCTGGCCCTCCTGGAATTGACCCACAACAGGAGAGCCTGGACAGTATGGCTGAGAGGTTAGTTTGGCCCCCGCTGACCCTCCCTAAGCTTGATAGACATATTCTAATTTAATGTGAAAAAGAAAAGCTTACAATACCTAAGGCTTCTTCAAAAACAAACACTGAAAAGGTGGTGCAAGGTAGCAATAATAGAATTTGAGAGAAGCGAAGAAAATAAAAGCATAAATATTTTCTCCCACATAATAGAAGTTTTCATAGCTTGCTCCTTCTGCCTGCTTTCTCTTTCACACTGACATCTGCAGATGAATATAGATTCACATGTTTTTATCCCTTATTGTTATATTTTAAAATAACTGAATGACAACAGAAACCACAGCACAGACTGTGTGAATCATCATGGGCTCAGTAAACATCCTGTCTTCAATCCAGCATCCCTGCCAACCAGAATCCCACATTAATCGCAAATCATGACAATTATAGTTGTTTACTGGTGCTGCACCCTAACCGCTAGTTCAGTGTTTTTTAAAGGCCAATACTTAGCATAGCTCTAGCTGTTAGATTGGGCTGAGGAACGATGTGGAGCTATGTGTGCACAGTGGATATTCTCAGTCGGAAGATGGGTGTGCAGCCCCTGTATTTATAGCTTCATAATAGGGCACCTCTTTTGTTGATTCCTAGAACAGTGAAAAATGGAAGTTTGGCAAATGCAGAATGAGCCAAGCTGCAGCTGAATGTGGTCTAAGAGAATATAGTGCTTGAGCCAAATAATAAGTTCCTTTCCCCTCCCCCTGCATCTATCCAACATCCAGAAAGTAACTGGACTGGCAGTTGAATTTTCTTTCTTTCAGGAATGCATATAGCAGTGCATCTGAACAGGCTAGTTTAGTGAGGGCAATGTAGGCTGTATGAAACACACAGCTCCGTACGGCAACATCTTCCCTTCTCCCGTCTGCCACTTTAGGCAGCTAAGAGCAAGACCAGCTTAGGCCACACACTGAGAACCTGGCTTGCCTCTACCCAGTTCTCTCTCAGCTAGTATTCTTGAATATTATCTACTGCTGAAGTTTCCTGAGGTATATTTGAATTATAATAATTTTTTTATTAGCCAGGCCAGGCTGAGCACTGCTGCTTACCTGTTCTGATTGATCCCAAGATCTACTCCTAAAATGCTACCTCTTCTCTTTCACACCTTTTTTTCCCTTTTTGCATGGTATACAACTTCTATCACCACGAGTTTCTTTTTCTTCTAAATCTTTCCCCTTGCTCTCAGGTCATGGCCCCACCTCTGGTGTCACGTCAGCACCACTTGTTTTTCTGTATGCCTTCATCCTTCCATTTTGTCTTTCAAAACGTGTCCATTTCTTACATACTCAACAAAAGCTGTGATTATTGTTTATTCAAGTCTGCCAATATACTGTACATATCTCTTCCTTCTTTACTTTGACTTATCTTTTTGTTCAGCAACCCTGGATTATTCACCGAAGCTCTGATGTAGCCAAAGGATATGCCTCTCGGTTCTCCTCATTTTTTGCTTTTCAATTTTCCACAAATTGCTGATCATTTCAGTTAGCATGCGAAGCGCAATGTGGCTACTACATCCATGTACAGCTATTTTCTCCCTCAGTATGAGAGAGGCAGTGCCTGTATTTTGATGTATGCCTCAATGAGATGAAGGGGCTGGCTGTTGTGGTATCATGCTGATACTTGCCTGAAGGAGTGAGAGGCTGCACATTGTGACCTCATACTGATGCTGCCTGGCTACAGGAGTGAGGGGCTGGCTGCTGTGACCTTGCAGGGATGCTGTCTGAAGAAGAGATACTGGCCGCTGTAATCTTGATGCTGCCTGAGGCAGAGAAACTGGCCATTGTGACCTCACATTTTACTGCATGCCTAAAGGAATGAGACACTGTCCATTGTGATGGTTATTGCCAGAAAAATAACTGATCGATGTGCCCTCATACTTGAACTTGCCCACCTGAAGGAAAGAGAAACTGTTCAATACACCTCTTGATATGTGCTGTCTGTCTGAAGGAAAAAGAAACGTTCCCAGGTATTGTTGACTATTTTTTAAGGGAATAGTGACCTTTTACACCAGACTAGACAGAGGGCTTTTACATTTTCATTTCTTCTTCTCATCTTCTCAAATGCACCTTTCACTTCTTTTGAGGCGATCTGTTAGGAACAGCATCCC